TTGCTCATCAGCAGTGGCAGTAATAACTACCATCCTTAAATTGGCACTACTGCTCAAGAGAGACTGCACCTCTGCATCTAAGGCTGTGGCTGAAGATCATATCATCCACACCATTCAGCTTTGCCCAAAATTTATCCGATTCCCTGTCATAAAATAAAAGCAAACATGTATGACACTACATTTATTTCCATACTCAAATTGTTTCTAAAGAGGAAATAGTAATGGCAGATGTAAGATTGGATGACATAACTCATCAAGGCTCTGGATGGATTTTGAAGGGACTTTCCTAACCTCCAACCCAAGGGCCTCAATCTTGGAACGCAATTCAACTTCTTCCTGATTAGTAAGTGCTTCTACCTAGACATTAATTTTAAAGCATAAAATACACATGCCGAGAATCCAAATATGACGAAATAGATAATTTGCTAAAACTTTGTTTCTTTTTGGGCATAAGCCGCATGGAAGCCCTCATGATTATGCAAAAAGATGGACGGGAGCTGCGCTTTACTACCATGAAAGGATATTAAATCATGTGTTAAAAGGAAAAAGAAAAAAGAAAAAAAAATCACAAAAGAACCTGTAAGTTTGAAGGTTGCTTCTCAATGGCCTAAAGATAAAAACATACATAACCATGTACTCTTAAAAGAAGAAAAAAAATTCATTACACAACCTCCTTTTTATTGGCCCTAAACACTCAATAACAGAACCTGACTTGCCATTTTATAATTAAACAGTCAAAAAAATAAAAAATAAAAAATAAAACCCTAAGGACCACCACTCAAAATTGGAGTGATGGAAATGAAATTGGCTACCGATGATAATTGATTCGGATCTTTTACATTTGGCTACAATGATCATGTATTAAAAACAGCGGATTCAACTACACAGATCACAAATTTCTTTCAATTGACAAAAAGGAAGAATCTTTCATCATACCCACGATTGATTTGTATGGTCGTCAAGATCTTTGATCATTTACAGAAAAGAACATCATCAACACACTAAAACCCTTAACTGATCATGAACTCACAAAATTAAATCAAAAGAAGATTAATCAGCATGAGTTACTAGCAAAAGAAGTGAACCTGGGCCGAAACAATAAAGAAAATCCAAAATGGTGAAGCTAATGTTCTTATACTCCACAGTCTCCACATTAAACTCTGTAAAAGAAGGCAAAACAGAAAGATATTAGTGATCAAACAACATATAAACAAATAAACGTATTATTTGTAATGACAGATAGAGAACATACCAATTGTGGGAATAGTAGTCACAATCTCTTCAAGCTTGAGCTTATACAGAATGGTCGTCTCACGAACAGCATCAGGACCCTAAAAAGTCTTAAGGATAACCATACAGTCTAGAGGAGAGAAGGATATAAAAAGGAACCAACTGGTGTTGGGCTGGAGGCTCCACCTGAGTTAAGTGGTAGGAGATCAATGGCGCGAGTTAAAGGCATCGGCCTTGTTGCCCTGATCAACGGCGTGGATCAAAGCCAATTTGTCTCTCACCGGTTAATATCCCCAAACATCCAGTATTTACAGTAATAAACCACGGCACGGGTCCCACAACTTGATCCGAACCGCTAGATCTTTCCACCTAGACCCACAATTAACAGGAGATGCCTTAAAGAGAGTGAAGACGTACGGAAATAGCCAGTGGCTCGGAGTTGAGGAAGAAAGGAAGGATGGGAAATGGCAAAAACCCTACTTAAGCCCTCAAATTTACTGAAAAATAGCATTTAAGATCCTAAACTAAAAACAAAGCAAATAAATTCTCTAATTCCACTAATTATGCAAATAGACCCTTCTCACAAATAGGCAATATATATTATAGAACATTTTGTCTCTACTTAAAAAACCTTTTTCTTTTTCCTTTTATAAAACCTTAAGTTATTATTTTTTTTTAATATGAAAAATTTTGAGAAAATGGTAAGTTTACAAGTAATTGGTGGGAGTTAAACTCCCAATCACTTAATCACAAACTCTTAAGTTTAATGGTGAATCATTTGATCCATTGAATTAGTTCAAAAAAATATGAAAGTGAATGTAGCATTGCTAAATATTCATGTTACAAAAAAAATAATGATAATAATGAAGCCTCTCCCTCAAAAAATAATAATAAAAGCCACAAACCATAATACGTGAAGATATATAAAAACAAAGATATGAGAAGA